CCACTTTGCCAAGGCATGTGCGAAGCAACATTGAAAATATTCTTCCAAAATCTGCTGTACAGGCTTCCACAGATGATGAAGAAGAACCCTCAGCCAAAAAAAGGCGTTATTGCAGTCTTTGCACGTCTAAAAAGAAAAGAATGTCAAAGATGACCTGTGCCAAATGCAAAAAGACAGTTTGTGGTGAACACAAGAAAGACGTTTGTCATGACTGTCTCTAAAGAAATTTTTTATAATATTATAGATTTTTTTACACTGATTATATTATAGTCTACTAGTTTGTAAGGATAAAACACTATTTTTTGTGATATTTTACGGGATTTGTTCCCATAAACCGAAGACTGTTGATTTTTGTTAATTTTTCATAGAGGTCTAGTGATTTAAGTTTAAAATTACTTAAAATATAAAAAAATATAATATAAATGCATTTTATTTTTACAATAATGCCAAACCTTTAAAATGACTAGATTAACTTAAATAAATATCCATTGTTAGTATAAAATTGACGCCTTAGAAAAGCATGCGCCTCTGAAGCGTATGGTTATCTTTTACGTACGTTGTCATATGGTTATCTTTCTAGGGTTAATAACGTCTCGTTCCGATATTTTTGTCCGGGCAAACTTGAACAGCTAGAATCGATATTAATATAAAACTTAATGTCCCATTAAACGATAAAAGAAACCACAGAGAAATCACATTTTATCACATTTGTTCAACTCGAGTCAACGTTGATGAATATAAAACGTTTCCTAATATAAAAAATCGGGGAAAGATTGTTAACATCGCAGAAAAGTGATTCAGCATCTTCAAGAGTCTCGTAATACTAAAAACACAGCATAGAAAAGTCAAATCGATCGGACAAGTATTCAGCAAACGGCCGCGTGTATCAAAAAATGCGTCGAAAATCTCCATGATTTTCTGGCATCATTTTCGACGATGAACAGGCCGAATCGGTAAAAACCGCGAATCGTGTTAAAATCTACGCATCTTCGCGAGTATTTTCAGCTGCGATAAACCATAGAGACATCGGTTCTTTTTTTGACTTTTGTCCGGTGCACGGGAAACACTGCGCGGCGTCCTCGTCGGCGACATAATGTAATGCCGCATCGAAAAGAGATTACGCGTTTCCGAGCGATTAATTAATTAAATGGAAATAGCCAGGAACGCTTATGGAAGACCGATTGAAAAGTTTCAGTGTCACCGACATCGTCTACATTCGCCGGATAAACGCGAGATCAGGTGGAAATACATCGGCTCGTCAGATTATCGAAGTTGTGCGACGAAGATAATAGCTGCCGATTACAAATCTCTGTGTCCGGACACGAACAATATTCTAGAGCACAAGTGTCGTCGGACAAATAAAATGTTAATTATACGCGAAACTGGTGGCGCGTGTAAAATCCAACACCGTCGTCGATTATAAACGGGATCGACGATTCCGTACGAAATCGAACGTTGCGCGATCGGTTCGTCGATCTCGACGGCTTCGCGAAGGTTTCAGACACGTTTCAGCTGTTAATTTAGTGCAGAAGTTCTCGTAATACAGGTTTTCATATCGCAGTCATAACGCAATGTGTCATAAAGCAATGCAGCTTAATTTATTCAATCATTTTAACCCTTTGCTGCCGAGTGGCGACTCTGTGCCGTCACTAGAAATTGGTGTACTATTTCTCAAAATCATTGTAAGAACATCGGATTCGTTTATATTTAAAAAGAAGAAACTGTTAAAATTGCATTGTAGTTGCCAATAGGCTCAATTTCGTGTGCATAAATCGCGATAAATTATATAAAATAGAAATAGATCAGAAAATTCGTTTCGGATTTCGAATTCGAATAGCTCCGACTGCAAAGGGTTAAAGCACTCATTAAATCATGTTACTCGAGCTCGAAACATTTCCTGAGATCTTTCGACCAAATTTTAACTTTTGGCAACCCTTTTCTTCGGAGTTTTCAAGATTTTCTACAGTTTTTTTTTTTTTTGGTTATATTCTGAGTTCTTGTTTCTTTTCTTCTTGTTTTGTTTACGTTCTTATGATGCTTGCCGAATTCGTCTCAGCATCCCCTAAACGATTGGTACGGAAAAAACTGCAGGTCAATCAATATAAAGAACCGAAGGTGACCTTGACGACTCCGGGAGAAAAAGGGTTCACAAAAGAAATAAATTAAGCTGACCGCGCTTCGTGCTCCACCCTGTATACAGAAATATATGTTATTATTAACACTGGCACTTCGAAACTTTTTCGATTATGATCATCGAGATTGTGTTAAATTAACACGTTATTAAATTACGTATTAAAATGAATGCGTGAGATGCAGAGTGGAGAGCAAGAGAGCAAGTGAACGCTTTTGTTGTTTGCTTGAAAATGGTAGTATATATTTCAATTTGACGAAAAATATTGTCTATATATATATTATTATTAATAATATATATATATATACATATTATATTATATATTATTATAATATATATATATTATTATTTTATTTTTTATATATATATATATATATATATATATATATATATATATATTTCAATTTGACGAAAAATATTGTCTATATATATATTATATTATACATATATATTATTATATATATATATTATATTATATATTATTATTAATAATATATATATATATTTCAATTTGACGGAA